GCCATCAAAAGTCAGCAGCAACACTGCAGACTCAACAGGCACACTGATCACTTGGCCAAAGTCTTCTTCCCCCCTATGTATGTCTATTTACATGACAGCAATTACCTCTGAATTTGCATACATGTAAAGTAGCACATAGTTAAAGCTATGGTTTTCCCAGTAGTGATGTATGGAAGTGAGAGCTGGACCATAAAGAAGGCTGATCGCCGAAGAATTGATGCTTTTGAATTATGGTGCTGGAGGAGACTCTTGAGAGTCCCATGAACTGCAAGAAGATCCAGCCTATCCATTCTTAAGGAAATCAGCCCTGAGTGCTCACTGGAAGGACAGATCCTGAAGCTGAGGCTCCAATACTTTGGCCACCTCATGAGAAGAGAAGACTTCCTGGAAAAGACCCTGATGTTGGGAAAATGGAGGGCACAAGGAGAAGGGGACGACAGAGGACGAGATGGTTGGATAGTGTTCTCGAAGCTACCAGCATGAGTTTGACTAAACTGCGGGAGGCAGTGGAAGACAGGAGTGCCTGGCGTGCTCTGGTCCATGGGGTCATGAAGAGCCGGACACAACTAAATAACTAAACAACTAAACAACAACAACAACAAAGTAGCACGTGCAATTTTCATGCAAATCTGTGCTGGTGCATAAGTGACCACATAGCAATGGAGTTTATTCCCAGATAAAATGAATTGCCCCGAGTCTCTGGGCAAAGGACCCTGTGCTGTGGCTGCTCTCCATGACAACACTGTCCCTGGGAGGGGAAGCACTGGAATGGATAGGAGTTGCATTGTGACCTATTCCTGCGTGGCCCCAGGGCATCTCATGTTAGCTAAAAAACAATGTAGTGGGTCCCATACCATCAGTCAGCTAGCTCAGCTGTTAAAACATGAGACTCTTAATCTCAGGGTTGTGAGTTCGAATCCCGCATTGGGCAGGGGGTTGGACTAGATGACCCTTGCAGTACCTCCCAACTCTTATGATTCTATGAGAGAAGTGTGCCTGAGGTTCTGGAGGGCTCCTGTCTGCCCATATAGACCAGGGGTAGCCAACACAATACCTGCAAGTTGTTGTCAGACTCCAGCTCCCATCAGCCTCAGCTAGCAGGGCCAAAGGCCCAAGGATGATGGGAGTTGTAGTCCGACAATTTCCGAAGGACACCGCATTGGCTACTTCCTGATGGGCTGCATGGATTAGGGGCCTGAGAGGAACCCCTTGTTTCACATGGTACCTAGTGACCTTTTCAGCAGAGTGAGAGACAGGATCATGATGTGTGCAAACTTGTCTGGGGTAAAGAACAGGGCAGGGACAAAGAATCTTGAGATTAAGTGGAAGCGGAACTGGAAGAAAGGAAAAACCTCCAGCAGGCTTAAGAGGAGAGACTGAAAGATCAAATTCAGACAGCGGCAGATAAGCCACCAGCCTATTAGTGGCGATAAATCGCTGAGTCAGGTTTAGCTGCAACGCTTACTCAACTTTTACAGCTCGCTCCTTCCCGCAAACTGCAGGGTGTGTGCGACAGCAAGCGAATCCTCTGGCGAGAAGTTATGTCGCAACGTTTATGGCAAAATCCAGTAAGGGCAATGTTGCTGCTTGTTCCAGGTCCTCCTCCCCCTTCCCCACCCCACACTTTCTGGCTTGGTTGCAAACTCACAAAGGAAATTTCCAGATGAGACTTTTCTGGGCCTGCAAAGATGGAGAAAGGGCAGTTTTCGGCTTGCCCTAGCGCTGGACGTTTGCAAGGAAGCGGTTGGTTCTAACTAGGCTCCTTGGACGCCTGAAAGTACCTAGTGTGGCACATGAGAACATGTTTTTGCAGTAGGGTGGCACATGCTTAAGTTTGCGCAGTGGCAGCAGGGGGAGAGAAGTCAGTGCTCTGTTAAAAAACGCAAGAACATGACCCTGCCACCTCACAAACCCACATTCAGCAGCATTTAGTACAATGGTGAAATAATTCAGCAGCATCGCTGCTTGAATCCAGATTTCCACCGGCTGAGCCATTCACTTACCATTGGTGCATGCATACACATCCCCTCCAACATTCCTCTGATGAAAATAGAGACATCCCATTCCATAATGATAATTTTACGATTAATACCCCACACATCTTACTGGGTTGCCCCAGCCACTCAGGGCAGCTTCCAACATACATGTATATAAAAAACATAATAAAACATTAAATATTTTTTTTAAATTAATTTTTTATTTATTTTATTTTATTTTACTTTTTTTACCATCCCTACAGGATTGCCTTCAGATGGCTTGGGGGTGTCCCATAACTCCATACCCTCCAACATTTCTCCGGTGAAAATAGGAACAGAAAAGTGGGACATTCCGGGATCAAATCAGAAACCGGGACGGCTTCTCTGAATCGGGGACGTCCCTGGAAAATAGGGACACTTGGAGGTTCTGTATACAGGACAGGAATAGTGAACCTCTTGCCCTCTAGATGTTGTTGGACTTCAGCTCCCATCAGCCTCAGACAGCATGGCCAATAGCGAGGGATGATGGGAGTTGTAGTCCATGACATCCAGGGGGTACCATGTTGGCTACCCTTGCTGAATCAGAATTCCGGGAATGAAGGCGAGTAGGTACCATTCTTCTCATCACTTGCTGGGCTCATGTAAAGTGGACCAACCTGAAGATGGATCAAGGAAACCAGGCCTATCGCGATGGGTTAGGTAAAGGGTAAAGGGGACCCCCGACCACTAGCTCCGGTCATGGCCGACTCTGGGGTTGTGGCGCTCATCTCACTTTACTGGCCAAGGGAGCTGGCGTACAGCTTCTGGGTCATGTGGCCAGCATGACTAAGCCGCTTCTGGCGAACTAGAGCAGTGCAAGGAAACGCTGTTTACCTACCCGCCGGAGAGGTAACTATTTATCTACTTGCACTTGACATGCTTTCGAACTGCTAGGTTGGCAGGAGCAGGGACCGAGCAACGGGAGCTCACCCCGTCGCGGGGATTCGAACCGCCGACCTTCTGATCGGCAAGTCCTAGGCTCTGTGGTTTAACCCACAGCGCCACCCGCGTCCCTCGCGATGGGTTACCTCTTGGTAAATGCCACACCCAGGGTGGTTCGCAGTGATGCAGCAGAAGCCAAATGCTGGGAGTCTGATGGCAAGGAGCATGATTTTTATGGCACAAGCTGGCTAAAGTCATGATGCGCAAATAAATAAATAGGACTTCCCTTGCTCAGGGCTGCTGCCCAAACCAGGGAAGGTGGCCGTCGATCAACCAGCGGCACGGGGCAGGAGGCACCTTCTCCCTGGCTGTGCCACGCATCTGCGCCCCCTCCTGACACCCATTCTGCTGGGTGCCCTTCTTGGCCCTCGCGCTCTGTGTCCAGCTGCCACCACCATGCGCTCTGGCTCCCCTCAGGCTGGCAGGCTCGGGATAGGGGAAGCAGGCCACGGACAATTTCCAAGTTGCCTCTCTTACCTCCCGCTCTCTCTCCTCCCCGCGCCCCCTCTCTATTAAAGTGGGGTGCTCCCCACTATACACAATTTCACTTCAGCATGTTGGGGCCCCCGCGTAAGTTTTGGGGAAGACACCTGTACTGAACACAGTCTGCTAGCCGAAATCAGTACCCCACTTAACTCATATAAACTAATGTTACTCATTCAAATAAATATACTTTTAATCAACTTAAGAACGTAAGAAACCAAGAGGAACCCTGTAAGCCAATGGCCCATCTACCTGTAGTCCAGCATCCTGTTTTCAAACTAGCCAACCAGGTGCCCACTGGAAGCCTGCAGGAGGGCCCTGAAACCAACAACACCCCCCCCCACTTCTGATTCCCCACAAGTGGTATGCAGAAGCACATTGAGAACCAAGCAGTTGTGGCTTAAGAACCTCATCTTCCGCTTGTGTGAAATTTCCCTGCTTTGTCCCAAAATGAGGTCCTGAGTTGTAAGCTGAGTGCCTGGCAGAAAGGTCATGCCACCAGTGGCGAAATAATTTGAGGGACCACCATTTTGGTTTCAGTTTTTTCTTCTTCTGTTTTTTAATGAGCCCTGAAGAAAACATCCATATTTTTTTTCAAGGGAACCAGGGTAAAAATCCTCTTTGAGGTAAAAGGCAGAGAGTACTTTACACAGTCTGTTTTAAACAGGAGAGGAAGCACTGAGGATGGGAGAAGAAAATGCTTAGGAAGCCCCAGGTCACCTCAGTTATTTGACAAACACAGGAAATAAATTCCCTCTCATTTTACGGTTAGGAAGAGCTCTGTAGGCATGGGTCCAAGCAGGGTTTTGTTTTGTTTTTGTCCCATTGTGAATCACCATAAAAGTCAACTGGGTTTGCTGTGGATTGGCGTTTTCTCAGATGAAGCAGTAAACAGCCAGGTTTCCCAAGGAAAGCAGTGGGGGGGGGGACCTACCCTGCTCTTGACACATACTGGAAAGCATGGACCTGCGCCTACAAATTGTGGCACAAACGGAAGTCTCTAACACAGAGAGGTAGCAGGTGGTCTAACTCTGTTAACAACAGTCACAAACTTTCACCCCAACTCAGCAAGGAAGATTCATTCTCCTCCTCCTCCTCCTCCTCCTCTCTCTTTTCCTCAGAGCAGATATGAAAACCTGTTTTATCCTCCTTTCAGTTGACAGGACGCACGTGATGGAAATGAGGACAGTACAATCCCATCTGGAGCTACCATTAGCATACAACAAATCAGAACCCGGCCTGGATCTGGCCCTATATCCCATGGAAGACTTCCTTGCCTGGAGGATATTTTTTTAAAAAATGTTTTTCACAATCTGTGCAATGAAATATCTCTTCAGATGGAAGCCTGAAACATTTCAGAGACCCATTTTTGCCCAGGAGGGATCTACAACGTTCTTCCTCAGAGGAAGAACAGTATACTATATAAATTCTTTAACCAAGGTAATGCCATGCATAACGTTTTTTCTTGATGCAGTTCGACCCAGTCATTGGCTCCCTTCTTTTTATTACCCCTGTTTTGTGGAAGGTGCAATTGCAGGACGTCAGTGGGGTATAAAAAACTTGGCCTGACTCAGAGTTCATTTCACCCTTATGGTGACTCCCCAGACGCACTGCAAAGTCGAATTCCCCAGCCAGCTGTCCCGAGTCAACGAGGTCAAATTATTTCTTCTTCCCACATCCACAAAATCCATTTACCAAAGGGGATTCGTTGCCCTGCTATAAATATTTGTTCTTGCTGCTTCAAAAATTCCAGGACGGTCCCTCTGCTCCGATATTAAACTAACAGTGCTTCTCTGGTCAGCGAGGCATTAATATTAGGCTGTCAGGTTTCGATCTCCCAGCTGGACAAATTTTCAGGAAGGCCTAAATTGCCACTGTTCCTCTTTGTCAGGGGGAGAGGGCAGTCGGCGCCCGCAAATGTGGCGAAGACTCTAGTTCTGGGTCTGTGTAAGAAAAGTTTTTAAATTCGTCTTGGTTAATCATAGAAAGAATTCCTTCTTCAATGGGAGTTAATATTGGCTCCTCTTTTAAAAATTCGGGATCGAAGTTGCTCACATCTTCTTTCGATTTCTGTCATATGCAAATACAAAACAAACATATTAGGTTTTTGTTCTCTTCCCCCCCACCTATTAACAAGGGTGACATTCACATTGGTTTCTCAGTATTTTGAGGATGTTGAAAAATTGGCATTGTAATTTTCTGAAAATTGGGCAGGATCCTGAGTAAGTTTGTTACATCACACTAAGTAATTGCACCACACAGAAATCAGTGTGAAAAGCTAGTTAACACAGTGATTTCTATAGGACCTAAGCGTGAGTAATTTAAGCTTGGGTCCAATCTGTCAGGCTTATATATTAGAAATTAGCTATACTCAGCTTTTCTGTTAAAAGCACCCCAAAAGTGGATTACAGAAATGGCTGCATACACACCAGACATTTAAAGCACATTTGAAACACATCCCTCCCAAAGGATCTTGGGAACTGTAGTTTTTTTTAAGTGTTGAGAATACTAGCTCTATGATAGGAAACAACAGTTCCTAAATTTTTGGCGTGTGTTTTAAATGTATAGTGTGTACCCAACCCAAAAAACCAAAAACCACCTAGTCCAAAATATTACATGAAAGGCTTATCCCAGGAAAACAACATACTAGCCTGGTTTGCACATAATGCTAAACCATAGTTTTCTTAACAAGTTGTCCCACAGACTATCAAACAATTCTTGTTTCTCCAATGTTTGTTTTGTCACTTGGTAATGGGATGGGATGACCAAGCAAACCATGGTTAACTGAGAGTGCTGGATTCACACGTAACACCCAAGTTTTGTAAACAAATGCTAGTTTCAGATTGTAGTTTGCTGGCAGCAAATAAAGCATTGTTAAATTACCGAGCAGGGTTCACCAATAACTTTGAGCCACCGTTTAATAACCCACAGTTATTAAACTTAGGGCCCTCGCATTTATGGGACCACCTCTCCTGGTATGCCCCGCAGAGGACCTTAAGGTCCATGGATAACCATAGTTTAGAGCAGTGTTTCCCAACCTTTTTTGGGCAAAGGCACACTTGTTTGATGAAAAAAATCTTGAGGCACACCACCATTACAGCCCCGTGATGTCAGCGCGCAGCGTCACGCCGGGAGGGAAGGGCGCCGGGGCGCTGCTGCTGCTGCTGCCACCGCCGCTCCCGGCAGGCATGGGCCCAGCTGAGGCGGCGGCGGCTGTTGTGGTGGTGGTGGCGATAGCGGGCGGAGGAGGGGGCGGCAGCGGGGCCGAGGTGGCCGGCGGCGGCGGGGGAGGCGGCGGCGGGTGGAGCAGGAGGGCGGCCGAGGCCGGTGAGGGAGTAGGGTTGCCCGGGGCTTGAGGAGCCGTCGCCGGGAGTTGCTGCTACTGTTGTTGCTGCTGCTGCCCGGACATGCCGGCCTCCTCCTCGTCCGCTGTCTCGCGCTCCTCCCTTTTGCACGCGCTGCCCCGCCGCCGCCCCATTGGCCGGGTCCTGTCAGCTGATCCTGTGTTATTTCCTGTGTGTGTGTGTGAGGGGAGAATGGAGAGAGAAACCTCGGCACCACCACCGCGGAGCCGCCCCCGGCTCGACGCGGATCCTCGCCGCCGCCGCCCTGCCTCTCGCCGCCCGACTCGCCCGCCTCCCTCCCACGGCACACCAGGCAACGTCTCGCGGCACACTAGTGTGCCGCGGAACACCGGTTGGGAAACACTGGTTTAGAGGTCCCGGGCCCTAAGGAAGTCAGACTATCCTCCACCAGGGCCAGGGCCTTTTCAGTGATGGCTCCGACCTGGTGGAATGCTCTGTCCTGTGAGACTAGGGCCCTTCAGGATTTAACCTCCTTCCGCCGGGCCTGTAAGACAGAGCTATTCCGCCAGGCCTTAAATTTGAATTCAGCCTGATCTTTTATTTCCCTTCCCTTCCCTCCCCCTCCCCTTTTATGAAGATCACCCGCTCTGAGACCCCACAGCTAATTCTCCCCTGGCCTCCTCGCTGGCCCAAGTAGGACCAATTCAGCCAGCTAGCCCTGATTATTACCTAATGCTTATTTCCCCTAAATTGATTTCTGAATTTCGAATTTTATTGTTATTCATGTTTTTATACTGTACTTTATGCTGCTTTTACAATTAAGTGTTTTCAATTTGTTGTTAGCCGCCTTGAGCCTGGTTTTTGAACCGGGAAGGGCGGGGTATAAATAAAAATGTATTATTATTATATTATTATTATTATTATAGTTCAGTAAACTGTGGTTTGGTGTTATGAGCAAACCGGGTCATTGATGTAAATGCGGTTACGCTTTGCATGCAGAAGGTACCAGGTTCAATCTGTAGCTGCCAGGGATTGAATTGGGGGAACTTTTTCATGTAACCCATGGTATCTACTTCTGAGTACATGCAAAATTCTAAACACTCACAATTCGAGGACGGTAAGGCGGCTCTATCTGACGCTGGTTCAGCAGATCCCAATCCAATTCCTTAAAATATGGGTGCAGTAGGATAGCATTCTCTCCACCCAGGGCAATGCTGCCAAGGCGCATTTTGGGGTTCTTGGTCATGAACTGCAAAAAGAAGAAGAAAGGATTAGCAGGGAAGAAAGTGATGCTCTTAGCCATCCACTATCAGGTCCTATTAGTTAGAGACATGGGAAGCTGCCGTATCCTTGGTCCATGTAACTCAGAACTGTCTGCTCTGACTGGCAGTGAGCCTCCAGAAATTCTGACAGGGGTCTTTCCCTTGCTTATCTGGAGATGCTGGGGGAAGCCTTGTTGACATCAACGAGTGGCAGGGCCTTCTTGGTGGTGGCTCCCCATTTGTGGAATGCCCTGCCTGATGAAGTGCACCTGTTCTCCCCCCTCACATTTAGAGTTCAGGAGGAATTAAAAACCATTGCCAAGACATTTGATGACCAATAGATACCGTTTCTGAACCAAATTAAATACTTCTGTTATTAGAATCATAGGAATGTAGAGTGGGAAGGGACACCAAGGGTCATCTAGTCCAACCCTCTGCTCGTAATCACTTTAAGCCAGTGGGTGGGGAGCCTTTTTCAGCTGGAGACCTGCTTTTCCTTCTAGGCTCAATGTCCACTCCCGTGCAAGTTGTGGGCAGGGTAAGGTGCAAAAGTTGGCAGAGCAATGAATGTTAATTTTGCCCTTGTACGGAAAGCTAGTTTCCACACAGGCTCCTCTCTGCCCTCCACCCAGGCAAGAAAGAGACCTTACCAGAGTTCAAGGACACATTCCAGCCAGGCAAAAACAGCGAAGGAGGATGCAAACCAGGGCTGCTGAGGTGCTATGGCCTGGGGAGAAGGGGGTGTGGCCTGAGAAGGACCCCGAGGGCCAGATAGAGAGGTGTGGAGGGCCACATTTCGCCCCTGAGCCTGAGCTTCTGCAAAACCGCCATAAAAATTCTGGATACTGTAGGTTTGCATGCTGGGTCTGACGCTGGTTTAATGACGTTGGTGAAAAGTTTCATGGTGCCTTGTAAAAAAATTCGCAAAAGTATGTTTGTGGGAAGCTAGCTTCCCTTGCTGCCCTCAGCAAAGCGCTGTAAATTCCTTGTTACAAAAGCAGGAGAAGGAGAAAGAAGGAGAGATGAGCCAGAATCTGCCATCTAATTGCCCTTGTAAAATAAAGAAGAAGGAGAAATATCTGGGAGAGATAGTCATTAAATGAATGGCCGGAAAGAATGAGGGATGAATTAGATCAGAAGGGAAGAGAAAGGCAGGAGAAGGGGAGAGAGGTTCGCTCCAACATCCATTGGCCTTTAAACAAAGAGAGAATAGTTATTTAAACAGAGCAATTACTCTAATTAAGGCTTCCTTCCATGTTGCCCCAGGACTGGAGGCTGAAGGTCCTGTAAGCAATTTCATCTGATTATTATGTAAGGAAAGTGGGTGGGGAGAAGCAGGGAAAATTGCTGCTCATTATGTGCTTTGCTTGTGGTTGGAAAATAAGACAGATAAACTGGAGCAGACTGGAGTCAGACCTGGGGTTCCATTTCTGCTGGGAAATGTACCAGGTGCCCGAAGACAAGTTGCCATCTCTCGGCCTAGACCACCTCGCTCTCCAAAATCCAAAAGAGCTCCCCAAAATTCAGGACGTGAACTTTGCAGCAGCAACAGCTCACACCAGAAATTCCCATCTGCAGCCCAGAGCGTAAACTTTGCCCCTTGTGAGTCAGTGAGAACTCTTTTTGACACTGTAAACCACAGACTGATTTGATCTCCTTCCAGGTACCTTTTCCTGTTGAGAAATACCTAATCACACTCCCCTTAGTGAAATCTGCTCTGCATGGAGAACTCTGTTCTGCCAAGCAGATATCCCTTATCTGAAGAAGTGTGCATGCACACGAAAGCTCATACCAAGAACTAACTTAGTTGGTCTTTAAGGTGCTACTGGAAGGAATATTTTTTTGTTTTGACTATGGCAGACCAACACGGCTACCTATCTGTAACTAGTTTTGAAAGGTTGCTGTTTTACCACTCGACTTAAGTAAAGGTAAAGGGACCCCTGACCATTAGGGTCAGTCGTGGCCAACTCTGGGGTTGTGGCGCTCATCTCACTTTATTGGCTAAGGGATCCAGCGTACAGCTTCCGGGTCATGTGGCCAGCATGACTAAGCCGCTTCTGGTGAACCAGAGCAGCGCACAGAAACGTTGTTTACCTTCCTGCTGGAGCGGTGCCTATTTATCTACTTGCACTTTGATGTGCTTTCGAACTGCTAGGTTGGCAGGAGCTGGGACTGAACAACGGGAGCTCACCCCATTGCGGGGATTCGAACCGCCGACCTTCTGATCAGCAAGTCCTAGGCTCTGGGGTTTAACCCACAGCACCACCTGCATCCCCGACAGCGCTACCCGCGTCCACACTCGACTTAGGAACAGCTTACCGTATTTTTCGCCCTATAGGACGCACCGTCACATAAGGCGCACCTAGTTTTTGGGGGGGGGAAATAAAGGGAAAAAAATTATTCCCCCCCCCAGCCCCCAGAACAGGCAACTCTCCCCAAGCCGTGGGAGCCCGGCGCCTGGCTCCCGCGCCTTGCGGAGAGCTGCGCGAAGTCTGGGTGCGCTGAGCTCAGCACGCCCAGGTTTCAGCATGCAGGCAACTCTCTGCAAGCCGCGGGAGCCCGGCGCAGGCTCCCACGGCTTGCGGAGATCTGCGCAAAGCCTGGAGAGTGAGAGGGGTCGGTGCGCACCGACCCCTCTCGCTCTCCAGGCTTCAGCGAAAGCCTGCATTCGCCCCATAGGACGCACACACATTTCCCCTTCATTTTTGGAGGGGGAAAAGTGCGTCCTATAGGGCGAAAAATACGGTAAATAAGCTAAGCAGATGGTTAACAGCCCAATTCTGCACCGGCCTACTGAGATGTAATTCCTCCTAAATTTAAATGTGAATTTCTCCCAACTAAATTTGGCTTATACCATCAGAAGGGACACCCTTGCCTGAAAACCTCATGCAATTTCCCCCCAGTTAAAAAAAGTTTAAAGACTTAGAGGTCACATTTTTGAGGCGCCTAAGTACACAAAAGCTCTCAGATTTATTTGTCTGCAATCTGACAGGGTTCACACACTCTGGAGGGGCCAGCCTGCAAATTCTACCCACTTTTGTCAAAAAGGAAAGAAGTTATATCTATCTAGAATTCCCAAGAGTGAAGTGGGGATGGCAAATGAGATTTGGACCCCCAAACCAAACTGGTCAGCCACTAAATGAATACGAGGTGAACCAGGCTGTTTTTACAAAGCCCTGAACTGAGGACCAAACCAAATCTTGTGGTCAGTGCACACCCATCCCTTGTCTCTCATGACCCTGTCCTGAAGTTGATTTGGATCACCCAGGGAGCGCAGTCTGCTGTCCCTGGGAATCCATTCCTGTCCTGGGAGCTGGAATGAGACAGGACAAATCCCAGCTGGGCAATGAATGCACAGGAAGAACGCCAGCCTTTAAATGTCACAACGGTGCCTAAGGATGAGGCTGTAAAAGGCAGGTCCCTTCCACTGTTCTTACACATATAGGGGCCTGAAGCCCGGCTCTTTTAACAGAGGAGCAACGCAGCGAAGCAAAGTGCAGAAGAGATGTAATGCCGAACTCTGGAAATTCTGTGGACTCATGAATGCACCTTTGGTGGGAATTTGAAATTGCAGAAACACATGTGTGTATCTAACAATTACAAAATGCAAGCTGGACAGTGTTTTAAATAATATTCAGTAAACACACAAGATGTAACCAGATGCAGAAAGCAAATTAGAATGGACTAATTTTGAGTCCAATGATTTGCGTTTTAATCTTGTCTTAGACTCTGTGAAAGGATTCTGTGGAACTGTAACAACCTTTCGTGTGGATTGTTGGACTCTATGAACAGACAGGTGGAATAGACACTTACACATACATGGGCTTTATGCATAAACTGATTAGAGAATGAACTGATCCACTGGGTCTTCTACAGTGGTATCTCTGGTTGCAAACGGGATCCGTTCCGGAGGCCCGTTCGCAACCTGAAAAGAACGCAAACCGTGTCTGCCTGTCTGCCCATGCACGGGTTGCAATTTGCCGCTTCTGCACATGCGCATGACGTCATTTTGTGTGTCTGCGCATGCGCGAGTGACGAAACCCGGAAGTAACCCTTTCCGGTTACTTTGCTGCAGGACGCAACCTGAAAACGCGCAACCTGAAGCAAACGTAACATGAGGTATGATTGTACTTTTTTCGTTGAACTTTATGAGCTACTTCTGTTAAAATCTACAATTTAATACAATGAATAGTATACTTTATTTATTCAAACGTACAGCCGGTTATGTCTTGTGTGTTTATTGAATATGTTTCACGTAACTAGAGGTTTGTTGTTGTTTTGCGATTGTTTTTGGACAGTGATTTAAAGCCAAGGCAATTTTTTTGAAGGCGGGAAAACCCAAGCCCAAATATGTTGGGTATCCCCAAAACAATGTTGGAAATCAAAATAGTGTGACAGCAGCTACTCTTTGGAACTCCCTGCTGTTGCACATCGGACAAGCACTGCCTTTATTTGTCTTTCTGGTGCCTGCTGATGACCTTTTCAACAAGCCCTCTAAGGGGAGATTTCTTTTATTCCAGCCAGTCACCTGTGTTGGATTTCAATTGGTTTCTATATATTATTATGATTATTATTTCATTATTTATACCTCCCCCCCCCCCCGCCACCGCCCATCTGGCTGGGTTACAATTGGCTTTTATACAGGCAGCTTTTTAAATACAGTTTTGCATTTTTTTTAATTGTATAGTGAAATTGTTTTGTGATGCTTCATGGGAACCAATTCCGAAGTTTAATCGGTTAATTGATTAATCAGGAAAGATCCTTTGGATTTGCCTGAAAGTATCCTCCAGTGGCTCTGTTTTAAAAAATAAAGACATTTAAAATTTGGACATATGCTGCTTCAGATTCTTTTAAAAAGAAAAAATATATTAAAGCTTTTCTTTGTTTACAAGAGTACTGTAAAGTCATACCTCGGGTTGAATGTGCTTCAGGTTGAGCGCTTTCAGGTTGCGCTCCGCAGCAACCCAGAAGTAACGGGGCGCATTAC